ATATAAAAAGAAATTGGATAGATCTTAGAGAGACACGCGATTGAAAATTATTGCTGTTATCGGAAGATATGAAAGGATATTTTTGTTACGTCAATTATTCGAGTGAATGTATCTTTGTGTCAAACTCGCTTCAATTGTTCACAATCGTTTACAAAAATCTGTTCCTACGCGGGTCCCTTTTCGTTATCTGTTCACTTTCATCTCGATTCAAATGATTCATAAGACGGAAAGAAGTCGTTTGGATTAATAGCCGAGTTACTTGAAACGGCCGCAATTCAATATCTTCACTTCGAATCAGTCAAATATATCTTCTGAATTCAAGCTTTTTAAATTCAAGTAACTTGACTCGAAGTGCAGTGAACGTTAAAATTTATCGTTGCGCGTTAAAAGTGATATATTAATTGTATTTCAATAAATGTCTTTCGATCATTCCAAATCTATCTCTCTTATCTTTTAATTCATTTTCACCGTAGCTCGATATGCAATTAAAAAACTTCGATCAGTTCAGATCGAAGAGAAGTTCGAAGAACTTTAACCAACGAATCGAATATCTAATAACATAAATTCATACGCGATAAAGTCTCAACTTATTTAAATAGAAGCAATTCGAGCTAATTGACTGCTTCGAAACGAGGGATGAAAAAACTCGAAAGTCGGATAAACAAGATTCGTATTAAGAGAAAAATAATCTCAACTTCCTTTCGATCTCCTTCCAAGATCCTCCAATTAGCAAATCGAATCGAATGAGGGAAATCAAGGAGGATCGATAATCGGCGGTTGAAAACGCGTAACAGCGGATGCTGTACGGCTCATAATACCGAGACAGAGCCGGCCACCTAATGCTAATGCAACTACCATTAGCAAGTAGTGAATCGAATGTAAAGTCGGACGTAAGGTGGGACCACACAGGTCGACGGTTGGAGGGTTATACGGGGCCAGCAGATGCAGTGCCCCATAAACAGCGGGGCGGGACCACCCAACGCGCCTTCGTTCCTTCGTTTCGTTCCTTCGTCTGTTCCTTAATAACCACGGTACCCAGCCTGTTCCACCGCGAGAAACGCGTGCATACGCGCGACAGTTCGCGAACGCGTAGACGTTACGGGCCTACACTTGTTACGTGCCACGCCGCCATTACGTGTGGCGAAATTCACGTCATCGCTGGACAATAAAAATTGACACGAAAAAAAGCGTATCGATTCTCTCTCTCTCTCTCTCTCTCTCTCTCTTTGTGCAAGAAATAAATATTTTCTATCTACTTAGAAGTAAGAAAGAAAAGTGAAAAATTTGACGATACTTTTCCAACGATTATCGTAATTTAATGGAGCGAGAGGAAATAAATTATGGGGGGAAAGGATGCGATGGATTAATTTCGCGCGGAAAGAAAGTGGTCGAGGCTTGGGGTCGTAAAGCGACGCTTGTACAGGTTTATGGAGTTCGCGTGTCGCCGACCCGTTTCGTCGAATTCGACCCGACCGGATTTCCTCGCGTCGCCTGTTTCGACAACGTTTGTCACGTTGCTGATCACCCCAGAATGGGATGTGTAATGGATAGCGACCTGTGGCATCAGGTTTATACGATAGCTTTCGAGCATACTCGTGAATGCACGATCTGATTTGACAATGACAAACAGATCTTTGATTTGATCTTCGTGAAAATTTGTATTCTTTTGAAATTGAATTTTGCGATAATTCTGTAAAATATCACTCCATTTTTGCATTCTACGAGAAAATGAATTAATGAGAATGCTGGTTGATTTTAATTTTTAAATGATGAAAACGATTCGAAAATAGAAAAATTTGAAAATGCTGAATAAATTCGAATAAACAATCGTAATAAATTCAAAGTTGAACATTCCGGCTCCCCTGTTCGCGATAAGCAAATTTGATAGAATTATTGTTAATTCGAGGAATAATTTTTAAAAAAAGCCATTACAAAATCGTATTGATTTACCGTCGAATTAAAATTCAAGCCGTAACGCTTGTGTCGCGCACGGATACACAAGCGTAAATGGTTGTAAAAGAGTAACGTGATATTTTACAATTCCCCGGCCCGGGTAGATAAAGCGAATGATTTTGTATATCCAGTTGTACCGTGTCACGCGCATTAATTATGGACGACGATCAAAACCACGTGTGGGAAACTGGCTACCTGTCTTCAACCCGACACGTGTGCGCTTTCTCACAGGCCCATCTTGGGTATAATACCGCGTCAGATCGTCTCTTGGGAGGAGATAATGACAGTCAAAAGCTACTTTGGCGGAGTAACGATGCTTGTTCATCGGTCTTTTGCCTATCGAATACGGTGACAGCGTCCGATACGATTTATATCGGTGGACAGGGGCAAAGAGTGGCGGAAAATGAGATTGGACGTACACATGTATACGCGAAATATAATATACGTGAAACGAGATAAGAAACGGAGGATAATTATCCAGATTAAGAAACACCTCGACGGTTTTTACGAAGATCGTTTTTATCAAGATCAATATTTCTTCCCCTCCGCAATGTTATAATACATTCGTGAGACGCTTTCGAAGAAAACAATTCTAATCAATTCTAATCTAATTCAATTTTTTAATTGTGTTTTCTTTTTTTTATTTTCAGAATCGAATCCTTTCAAGATGTTACACAAACATATGAACACGATTCGATTTAAATTTCCAAGATTGTTTTATTCATCCACGAATTGCCAATATATTACCAAGTATTGGCTTATCATCAATACGTTTCTCAATGGATGATACGAATTTATATTAAAGATTTCCTCTTAAACATATCTTGTTCCAATTCTTTCGATGATATATGATTTTCTTCTTGAACTTTACGAGTGAAACTATTTCTATTTCTCGACGAGTTTCTGCTTTTTTCACTTATTAAAAATTAAACTTTATTTCAAAGTTCCATCGAAACCATAAAAATCAAATTCATCTCCTACGTAGAAAAGCACAGAAATTCGAGTTATTAAATTCTGAATCATTAATCTTCATCACCGCGAAATGAAATATTCGGTTCACCGTTAAGCTTAATCGTGAACAGTTCGATTCCCCCCTTTTTTGTTCAACGAAATTCAACCCTCTCGTATCCACGGATTAGACACGTTCACGAAACATGATTTATACCGGCCTAATAGTTTCACGATGGTTCCCAGCCAGCTTTCCAGAGGAGGCCATAATCCTTTTTATTACCTCAAAGACGTTTCACGGTGACGGGTCTATCTATGTGGAATTCAGGTATCATGCATCTAAAAAAGCTGGAGCCGGCAATAAAGTGTCCCGAAGAGTTCATAAAAGTCGCCGCTTTCACTGAAAACGCGCTCTCTTGTCTATTCGACAGCCACCGCGAGGCCATTAACTTTTACCTACACGCGATCCATCGTGTTTCGTGAACGCAATTTACGCAGTATGTATCTCTCTCTCTCTCTCTCTTTTTCTTCCTCCTTTTTTTTCACCTCTTTGTTTCTAGTCACGCGTCCGTTACACACTTGTCCCTTTTTGCCTTCCTCCTCTTCCGTTTTTCTTTTCCATTTCTTTCTTTTCTTGTTATTATTATTATTATTCTCGTTTTCTTCCCTTCTCCCCCCCCCTCCCTCCTCCTCCCCCTTTGTTCCCTTTGGAAATCCTGGCTGCTTCTGAGAAAGCAGCAAAGGATTGCGGGGTCCTAGGGATTTGACCACCCACGTGGTTACGGAGGCTTTATAGCCTCCTTGAGTGTCCGGATACGGGATATTTTCGGTAACTTTAAACAGCAAAATGTAGCACGAGATTATACTACATTGTTCTCCTTTTTCGCCTTTTCTTTTGGCTCGAAAGACGCGCGGGGAGTGATAGGGTGAACGGTAGCAGCAGGAAGCTGTTACGGATTACGTATTCGATACGGGAGGAGAAGAGAGAGAGAGTAAGATGGATAAGATAATTCTTCTTTTCTTTTTTGACTCGAAAGTTTTCCTCTCCCGAGAAGAAGTATTTTCATAGCCTCATTCGGCATGAAAAGTAAAATCTTGTTGTGTTTGTTTGAAGAGAATAACATGTACGGTAGAGTACATTATATGTAATTTTAATATAGCATATAAATTTTTTCGAATAAATAAGAACGAGATGTTTTTCACGTATTTGATATTCGATGCTCGAGTCTTCTTATGTTTCTGAACGATTTTCCATCCACTGTTCATCGCGTAGAAATCGAGCATGGAAATTGCACAACGTGTAAAGATCTTAACTTCGACGAAAGATAGATTTTTTTCTTCTTTTCACGGTCCAACGATCGATAAAGTAACGGGACAGGAAAAATCACGGTAGGCAATCGAATCGATCGTTTTCATTATCGTAACAGGCGTGCGATTGATCGCAAATTATAGCTTGGTCATGCTCTACCTATTATTAATCAATTTGAGTAATACAAAGCTGTGTACGTAACACGATAAGGAACACAATGCAATTGCAATTTCTTGGATAAAATCTCTTGTCAAGGATCGCAATCAAGTTACAACTCGGTTCTTTGTTTCTTTCATGAAAAAAGGATGTTATTCGTCGTGTCAATGATATTTCAAAATAATAATGAAAAATTCAAGCGTTCGTTTCTCTCTCGGTTCTCTATCAATCCAATTGATATTCCATTTTTAGTTGATAAATTGGTTGGGGACTATTCATTAATCACTTTGTTTAATCAATCGCGAATTAATTGATGTTTTCTGAGTTGTAACACATTGTATTTGCTAATCGTATGCAAATTAGGTGAATTCGAAATTTTGGATCGCGAACGAACTATGGCTAATAAATCTGCGAAAGTCTTTAAAATTTGTTTCGAAAGACTTTTTAAAGTTGCTTTAATCATAATAATTTGCTCCTTTGATGCAATCTTTTTCTTGGAAACTCCTTTTAATGTGTACCAATAATTTTTTAATCTTGAATATTTATGAATTCCAAATCTATATAGTTATTCGAATTTGATGTTGGAATATGGTTCATCACGATATATTAATAATTAAATTGTAATTCGTCTAGCTCCAAGCTTTAAGTTTAAATTTAATTTATTTTTGAAGTACGGACTTACAGATTAATAAAATTGACTATTTCATATCTAATTATTAGTAAAAATTAAGAGGAAATACCATTGAGTCACGAGGATAATTTAATCAGATTCTTCTTTAACTCGATTCTGAAGATAATGTTGCCTGTAAGCCCCTGTTGAATCATATTTTGCTTCGAGAAGAACCCACACTTCTGGTTTGTTATCGATCAAGAATTGGACAACTTTGTCGGCAATTTCTTTCTGCTTTTCACTGCAAGCTGAACACTCGTTCGCCAAAGCATCGGGCAAATTTTCTGTAATTTCAATCGGAAATTATTTAATAATATAATAATATAAACTTCAATTATGATTTAATAAATTAATATTTTTTTCTATAACAACTTTTCTCTTCTGTTCGAAATCAGGAAAATTCTCTGGCTGGAAACGCTGGAATAAAAATAACAAGATTCTCGTTTCTTCGAGGGATGGCCCTCTTCCAATCAAAAAGAATCAAGGGATCGACAAATTCCACGCACGAATAATTGTAACACGCGAGGATCATTTTTTTCCTAGCTAGGAAAGAACACCGATTTAACGCGGTGGCCTTGCTTCTCGGGAATAGCAGCTACGCTCATAAAATTGCGGTCGACCGTGAAACGGCGGCGTTCCGAACATCGGTAGAATATGCATGCGAGTACATGTGTACGAACGTATCGTAATTGACTCGTTCAACATTACATCCGTGCGTACGACTTTCGCACGATGATGCTCTGAAACGACACTGCTGCGGTTTTTCTCGATAAGGTGAACCCCCTTCTTTCCCCTTCTTCTCGCGCTTGCGGTTTTAACAAAATTACGACCATAATTAATATTATTGGTCACGGTCCTTGAAGAAGAAAGAATAAAAGATACACGCGAAAAATAACAAGTCCAAAGTAAATATCCAACAATGTTATTTCACCATTCCAAGCTTTTTTAGAATGCTACAAAACGATAGTGATACACCACTTTATATATTTTTTATTCTATTTTCATTCTTATATGTTATTTGTATGTATTTGCCTTGCAAAAAATACGATATAATAATTTGAAGCTTACTGGAACAACTTTTACTTTTCGGAAGATTTAAGATTTCGTCTTTTGAAGTTATTAATTTTGTTACGCTATGATCAACTTATACAAAATATCTTGCTCACTCTTAAGTTCAGCGGCGTCGGGGGTGCACGGGCCTTGATCCAGCAAACAGTTCACGTACCCGTTCAAAAGTCTCTCGGTGTTCAGTACAACATCGATGTCGACGTTGTCGTACTTCGTCGTGTATTTGTCTTCCGAGAATACTTCACCGAGCAGGAAGCAAACAGCCGCGAGAGCAATCAGGACGGTCCTCATCTTGGCTACGTGGAGATTGTTGACTTTTTCGATTACTGAACGTTGAGCTCGTTAGCGTGGAGATCTTATATATATATATATATATATATATATACATACATTTCGTTGCATGGCTCGTTAGTTGCACGAATTACTTATCGTACCGAAGGAAATCGTAATTCGTTAGGAAAAATGCGCACGAAAGGGTCATTTCCTCTTGAACGAGTTTGATGAATCGAGCCGATGACGAGATTCGAGCTCGAACATGAGAATATTTTTATAAACTTTTATCAAAATAATAGAATGGTGAAATTTAAATTATTACGAGACAAGGGGGATACAATGAAATGGTAAAAAGAGAAGGATAAAGTGATGGCGAAACAATGATTAAATTCAGGATCCAAGATGCATTATTTTTATCGTGAACAGAATTTAACCAATTTGCGAAATATCCATGTATTTCCAGCGAATTCGTATAATCGCGATCTTTCCTTGAATTACGTGAAATGGATGTAAATCGTTCTGGGACTCGTTATGCTTGAGCTATCTTGATGCAACGTTGATTTCATGGAAATTTAATAAAGGGACGCATAATTCCCCGGGATTCGACAAACCATTGTATTGTTAAAACTACTAGAAACGATTCTACTTCCAAGACACTTTGTATTCCATCCAAAGATGCCGCGTAAATTCAACGTGGTAAATCGTAATGTTTTAAATTCTCGTTCCTTCTTCATGGAATCTGAGATTTCTCGTCGATGTTGCTACGTGAGATTTATGCGTAGAGATGACCTTACTATCTCCGACAATATCGTAATTTATCTAAAAATAACCGGTGAATAGATTCTTGATTAGTATCGTTAGAGCCTTGAGAAAAAGAAAAAAAAAAAAAAAAAAAAGATTGATGCTACGATCGAGATTTGGATAAATTATTTATCGAATTATCAAATTTTTCTTTGTACTCGAATTTCGTTTATTTAATTATTAACGTTTCTTCTTCTTATGAATGTTTGTATTTAATAAAGCTTAACAGTAAACATCAGAGCATCTTTTTCATTTTTCCATATCTATTTTATATAACATATTCTTATCCTCAGAAATCTAAATCTCATGGATATTCTCAGGAATCATTTTTCATCGGTCATTCTTTTCCAGAATTTCACTCAATCTTAACGTAGATATCTTAACGATTAATATATATCTTTCGTTCAATATTAAAAAAAAAAATCACTGTACTGATGTATAAATGTGCTCCAACTTTCCTTCCTTCATCTCTATCATTTTTTTCAAGAAAAACTTAAATTAATAATAAACTATATATCCTATATAGACGCACTTCAAACGTGACTCAAACAATCAATTAATATCGTTCTATATAAAACAACTAATATCCTCTTTCATGCGATCAATCAAATGTATAAATTCTTGTTAATCTAGAAATCACTGCGTTGAGTGTCGTATTCTTCCGTCTCGGTGTCGGAGAACTCTGCACAAGCGTAGCAAATCCTCCCCACATCCCTCCAACATTCCTCGCAATACAAGAACGGGCAAGTTGGATTGGGGCACGGCCGATACCTTGGCCCTTTCCTGGGCTCCGGATCCTCGCAAATTAAACACCTCTCCCTGGCGCATTCGAAGTATCTCAACCATCCAAAACGTTTCGGCCACTTGAGCCTAAGCGCCAACCAGAAATCGATCTCGTACTCCAAACGCCGCGTCCTGGCCATGTTCCTCACCTTGGCCTTCATGAACTTGGCGTGCATAAGCCTGCGCCGTAGGGTCTCGTTGTACAGGTGCAACACCCGCCTCTTCTCCCTTCTTCGATAAAAGAAGGAGCAAATGCCACGGCGCATCCTCTGCGTGTAGATGGACCCGAATATCAGCAGGAAGACCAAGAAGAAGGTGCCGTAGATCTTGAATATTATGTAACCTGGAAGTTTGGTGGGCCGTGGCAGGCAAGCCTTGTTCGTGACCACCGTTTTTACACGTTTCTTCACGTTGAAACCCCGAACAGCGCTTCTGATCAACGAAGCGATCACCCCGGTACCTCGGATTTCTAGGTTCAGATCGTGGTGCCCTCTCTGAAAGAGAAAAAAGTCAGAAGAGTTAGAAAAAAATACATAACGTTATTTTTTGCTCACATATATATTTTGTTCCACTTGTTTCTTTCCTTCTTATTTTATATTTTAAATTAAGAGGAGATAGAAGATCTCACGGTATATACAGGATTGATTTTTACAAGTTAAAATGTAAAAGTTGATGTACGTTGGATGAGGCTTATTCAATAGTGTGACGAAGATAGAACTATTTCATTCCATTTCTAATGGAAACTTCAATTTGATCTCTTGTTTCTTGAATTGGTTTCAAAAGTATCTCCTCGAGATAATTCGTAAGTCGAATTTAATGGATTAAAGGGAAAGGAAAATTTCTAACCTCTAAGATCGTCACAGAAATATTCAGGGGACGTGTTTCGAGTGTTTAATTTAAATTGGTTGTACTTCACTTGAGTATATTCCATGTAGGCATGCCTTCTGATTATATCCAACACTTCGTAGAATAGCCAATCCAAGATTACAAAAACGGTCACGATGATGAATTCAAGAAGAAGTTTAACCAGCTGACCTACCAAGTGAAGTCCTTCGACTTTGGTTGGTATGGGATGATAGGGGTCGATGAACTTTCTCTTTTCGAGTTTCTTGAACGGCAACAACGTCAAACTGCCACGAACTTTCCTTCTCGCGTCTATTCTCCGGAAATAAGACGTCACGTAGACGTTGTCGAATTCGATATCTGATAAATATTTGTCATTGTAACTGAGAGCGTCCAGAATGATCTTCAGGAATATAAATGATAGGCATCTCTTTATTAGGGTCATCACGGACTTGAAAAGTTTCCTTCGTACAGAGAATTCGTGCACCACAGCTTTGGCAGCGTCCTCGGTATCTTGAAGATCCAAAATCACTGGTGGCAGTTTCACTTTGTATTGGAGTTTCGCATCCTTCAGACTCCTGCTGAATTCGTCTCGGGCACCTTTGAAGAATGATCGTCCCGTTGAACTTTAACATAGGAAATCGAGATTCACGAGCTGTGATTCAACAAATAAAGAAGAGGAATCTTTACTTAAAACAAAAAAAAAAAAAAAAAAAAGAAGAAAAGAAGAAAATTTCTTTTTCATTCGTTTTGAATTTGATCAAATTGAACTTATTTGAGCGTATATTTTTTGACAACTCATTGATTAGAAATTTGAATTATTCAAATTTAAATCTGAAGTCATATACATTTATAATTTATACCATTTATATATATAATATCACTGTCAGCTTATCGTTCAATATTCATTATGGTTTTTATAAATCTTTTTTAATGCCAATATCTATCAAGCCTATCTTTTACAGATATGTTGAAAAATTGATCGAAGAATTGGAATTCATAAAAGATGAAAAAATTTTTGAAAAAAACAATAAATAATGTATGTATCTTATTTATAAACGGACAGAACGAATCGTGGCCATTTTTAAAGTCAGAAAGCATTTATTTTGCACATTGGTTATTTTCGAATTTTAAACTTGGCACATACATTATTCAATAGAATTTTAATTCTATGAAAAAAAAAAAAAAAAGGTTTCAAGTTTTGCTAATTTTCGAAATAAACTATGATTGAAAACTATGTTTAAAGAAAAATTAACGAATGTATTCAATTTTTCGAGATTAATTTTTATGAGATATCAATAAGAAAAATTAAAAGATTTAAACACGTACTTTTTAAAGCGACGTATCCCTCGCCGATGCCACTATCGACTTTTCCCTCAGGATCACAGATGCTAGAACCACCCAATGCTTGGACCAGATTACAGACGAAAGTCAGCTTCATTGGCCAACATATGAGCCAAGCAACGAACAAAGACACTTTTTCGTAACATTTGTCATAAGCGGTGCCAAACATGTCCCTAAAAAATTTTATAAAAATATAAATTTATTAATTTAAATGTATCGTTGGAAATAATAGAGGAGAATTTTTCATGCCAGCTATAATAACCAAATATAACAAATAGACAATTTTTTTTATAATTATTAATATTATTAATTTTTAAACACACCTACATCTTTGCGCACCTCGGCTAAGTTGCTCTTCGCATCGAGCTTCAATTTTCTTCTTATACTTAGCTTCGTACACTTCACCTTCTGATTTGGCACTTTCAACTTTCTTCTCGTGCTTTTCCTCCATTTCTTTGCTTCTTTTCGTGTCACCTTGCAATTCGTCTAGATAATCGTTCTCCTCTTTTAACCGTATCATTTCTTCTTCTCCTTCTATTTCTTCGACAACTGGACTCATCAAATCCCTGATCGAAGAGAGGGTGTCTTTTATCTCGTTCGCATCCGCTTTCATAGCGTGGATTGCCTTTTAACAAAGATAATATTAACAAAGATATTACACACAGTGTTTTGTATTATATTTTATCAATATACCTGTACTTTTATTCCTATTATAAAATTAATTAAATCGACTAACATTGTAGATTGTAAAGTATAATAATAAACATTATTTTTAATTATTAATTTGTTATTATTTACTATTTCTAATAATCATAAAAATCGTATTTTTATTTATTTGTCATTAAATAAAATTATTGAGAATAATTATGAATGTGGATAAACATGTTATATAAGTATATGCAATGTACCTGTTGAAATGGTTTGAACATTAAATCGAATCTTGTCTTGGTAAGATTGTATGTCAGTTGTGATGTGCATCCAAATGTTCTTATTACTTCCTTAGTGTTAAACAACAAATTAAACAATGGTCCAGCGATCACGTATCCAAAAATCAATGCTCGTAACACACTTCGTCCAGCTCGGCCAAAAAACGTTGGAATCGTTAAAATGCAAATACACCTCACCTGTTATAATAAAAATAATACTTTTTACATGTACATGTATTATTTCATACAAATTATCGTGTTATATCTTCGACGAAATATTTAACAATATTCTTATAAAATTTATATTTGATTGAATAGATCATTAACAATGAAATGAAATAAATTGTTTAACAAGTAACAACAATCGTGCATAAAATTATATGCATATAATAAAATACTCGATGGAAAAATGTTATGCATATAAATATCAGTCGTTAGTATATGAATCAAATATTAAAAATACATGTGATACACATGTAATCGTAATTGATTCATTGAATAATATAATTATTGTAAGTTATATAACGACATTGCTAAATGTTTGTTATCGTTTCACACACTTTAATGCATGCTAATAATAAAATAAACGAGCAAATCGTTAGAATATCTTATAAAACACGTTATTGCGACACTTATATCAGTTTCATAGAATCATATATATTAATCACAATTGCATAAGGAATAAATATTTTCGCGATAAAATTCTATCGATGATTAACATATACAAGATGGGTAAGATTTTAAAAATTTCTTTGTAATTTTTCTTTATAATTATACAAAAATTTGTATCATGTATTTAACAAAAAAAAAATTATTATAGATATTGTTAAAAAAAGAAATTAAGAATCAAAAATTCATCATTCACGCGTATTATTTTTGTATTTAGAATTTTTATAAAGAATTTTCTAATTGATTTAATTTAAAATGTTTAAAAATATACGAAATGATCTTTCTATTTCAAGTTCTTTCTTTGTTAATTACAAAAAATTTTTAATTGCAAAATTAAATCGTTTATAATTTAAGAAACAAATTCTTATCTGATATTTTTACGTATCAATTTTTAGTTTGTCTCGAATCCTCTAAAATATACATTTTCTCCATTTATCTTTTCTGTTTATCTTTTTCCCCAAATATTTTTTTTTTTTTGCCATCTAATAATAATAATAATAAGAAAAGCGTTAAGACACGGAATAATTGTTATATAAATCATTTTATATATTTCGTTTTCGTAAATAAATATAAATAAATTATACTTAATATAAATGTCTAAATTAAATTCAATAACGATTAAAAATTTTATTTCCACATTAAAGCTTTCACGTTTGTAATGAAAATAAAAATAAAATTTAATCAAACTCCTTGTTAAAATTTTCCTCTCCTGTTAAATATTTTAATATCTTTTAGTTTTATGTTAGAACATTTATCAAAATAATTATTAATTATTTTCCATTGAATATATTGAACATGTTAATAATCACCTGAATCGAAACGGCACATCCAATCGATAGCATCAAAATTAGAATACCACCGAGTGACACGGTGGTATATGCGTCGAATTGTAAATCAACGATAATGAGTTCGTATAAAAGAACACCCATAAAAAAGCCAAGAAAGAAGCCGATTATGGCACGTGACCTCTTGTGAGTGCCTATTGGATCGAAAGTAATGTCAAACAAAGTTGGGAAATGCTCTTGGTAATACTTGAAAAAATCCTTCTTGAATTTCTCCACTCGGAGGCCGATAATGGTTACGTTCTCCATTCTTGGTTATTTTTTTTTTTTTTTTTTTTTTTACGTTAGTAAAAGTTCAACTTTCAATAATCTGTGTAATCAATTTGTGCAACTCATATGCGACGCGACGTATAGTCGCCTTATTGGTTAGAGAAGAAATCCTTGACATATATTTTCAAGTCCTTACTTTACTTTCACCTTCTCCAAAGTTCTTGTTAATTATCGGAGTCAAGCACCTTGTCTCTAAAAAGTCAGGGAATTTCAACGGGATTTGTTTTTGATATATCAAGGAGAAAAATTCGTATTTTTACCGTGTAGGAGGGAAGAAATTTTCTATTGGATAATCTCATTTTAAAATTGCTTGTTTTTTTTTTTTCTTTTTTTTTTGACAAATGAGTTAACGATACCGATCTTCTATTATTCTTCCTCTATTTTCAATTTCCATTTCGACAAAAATTTTGATTAATATGGCTATTAAGAAAATTTATCGCTGAATAATGAAATATTGAACTTTGCTTCGGCTACGGGAGAAAGTTTAAACTTTGTAAAGGAAATACACGATATTCGTGCATACTATTCAAATATAGTATTGCATAACGATTTATAAGGGAAAGTTTTTGAAGAAAATAGAATTGATAGGTAAAAATATGAATATTGAAAATGAAGATTTTTCTCTACATTTAAATTGCAAGATATTACTATTTTAAGAATATTTTTAAATTCATGGTTTCACCAATAGTTCAGTTAACGTTACTGCAAAATATAATTAACCTTAATTATATTCTAAATATCATTTGTATGTAAATTAAAATTATTTATATCCAATCATTTAATTATATGGTACAAAATATTTTAATAAAAAAAAATTATCTGATCATTTGAAAAAAATCACAGATAAAAAATGAAATTACTTATGCATTCTAATGCTATGATAACTTACTTTGTAAATATATAATGAGACTTCTTCCCTGAGTAAACATTAGACACGAGGAAAATTATAGAGGACTTCATATCGAGACTGAATTATTAAAATTACAAAGATCGCTTTCAAAATTATATAATCAGTCGTCGTTCGATATTTCTTACCGGTTCTAAAATGATACGATGGATGACCATATATCGCACGATGAATACGAAATCGTACGAAATAATGCTTTGTTTTTTTTTTTTTTTTTTCGTGCATGAAATCGAAAACAGCAAAAAGGAATTTAAAATTTTATCACGTCTGGTCAACTGATCCCCCTCACTGAAATTTTTTTTTTTTCTTTCTTTCAAAAACAAACAGTTCACATTAATTCACAAAAGACGATTTTATTCCTGTTATAAACTTACACTAATTGTCACGTCGAGATTGTTTTCCGCTTCTTTCATTTATACTACAACTGCTTATTATATCGTCTACATATATATATATATATATCAAGATTATGAGTAATTTTATAAATGAATCTTCAATAATGATTCTCAATTTATTAATTAAACACTAATGCCGAGCTTCTTCGCTTCTTCCTCGAATTTGACTCTGTACTTCTTGTCTGGATCGTATTTGTTGGCAAGGGCATCCCACATTTCTGGCTTATTCTCGACCAAGAACTTGATCACTTTCTTGATCACGTCTCGTTGCTTCTCAGAGCATTTTTTGCAATCGGTGGCCAAAGCATCAGGCAAGACTCCTGAAAGATGGAATTATTAATTAGAGAGAAATAAAATTAAAAATAATATCAAAATCAAATACACGATATATGTGAGATTAACACATTATTAATAAGCTATATTATATTCTAATATGTTCTTATACTCTGTTATCTTTTAATTCTATTTTAACCTTATAATTTTATACCATGCATAACTTGTTTTGTCATGTCATGACAAAACTTTTTTTCTTTTTTCCAAATTTTATTCAATTTATCATTATATATATATTATTTATTACTATATCGTGGAACTAATACCAAATACTTTATTTGCAATAATCAATAATTATTTAAAATATTAGGAAACGTGTTATAAACATCAAAAAATTCGATTCAATCAAAATAAATAATATCGATGAAACTAATCAAATAAAATTGTAAATTAAAAAAGTTATAAAAAATAATATAAATTTCTAAGAAATATCAAATTTCTTGTAAGTTTGTTAAATACAATTTGATTTTTTCCTTTCTTTCTTCTGTTCTTCGTTTTTCGTTATAAAATAAATAAGATTTCATTATACGTACGTTTGAGTTCATTTCCTTCTGCTGTGCATCTTCCTTCATCCATCAAACACTTGAAGTAATTGTTTAACAAACGTTCACTATGCAGAATTTCGTCCACATTAATATTGTCAAATTTACTTGTATATTCGTCTGGACGAGCAGCCACAAGGACAATGGCCGCCATAAAGACCAAACAAATTATTGAGACCTTCATGATCGCTATTAAGAAATTAAGAGTTACAATTAAAACACTTTTATAAATCCAAAAATCAAGGCATCCAAAGATTAAAAAATAAAAATTTTTTTTTCCTGAAACACCATTTGAAAGTTTAACATAAATGGCATGATAAATTCAAGATTAAAAATTAAATTTATATTTTAAAATTACTTTTGAAATATCTAACAATCACAAGATTGAATTTATAACATTTTAATTAAACACCGATTCGTTCACGATAATCTAATACTAATGATGATGAATCCTTACATTTGATATATAAATTGATCGATATTCAAAGACAATTAAACGATTTATGAAGTAATGCATACTTTAGTAGAACGCGCGAAACACTCACCTGGACGTGTTAGCTGCTATTAGTTGTACGATTGTAAAAGTCCTCTGGCTCATGGCACTTATATATGCCCGCTTACTGGTGGTAGGATTAATCGTGGAGGTCCATAATGGTCGAAGGTGGGAACAATGACGACCGAACTCTACCTGGAATACTTATACTGTACTTTTACCTTCGTTTTATTCAAACTTCTGGAAATATTTGATTTTTTCGTTATTACGCATTTTAATGAATTTCTAACATACTTGATTAATCATATGATAGTGTATCTCTATTTGCTTCTAAAGTTTCCATTCGTGCGAAAAATATATTAGTGTTTTTTTTTTTTTTTTTTTTTTTTATAGGAATTGATATAATTAGATAAAAGAAAATAGCGTGAACAATAATATTTTGTTTTTTATTATTGAAACTCAATATCAAAGATCAAATTGGAATAGAATATGAATATATGAATTTTTTTTTATTTTTACTTAAATATGAGATATTGATCGTAGTTATAAAAAATTTTCTTAAATAAATATAAGACGTAAGAAAATTTTATTTTATTAAGAGTACGATTTATTTTTTTTTTTTTTTGCAATGTATTAATAATTTATAATAATTTATTCTTTCTTTAACATATTTAATATTTAATTTTAAACTTATATATTCTACCATTTTTTTTTATGACGATTGTTGGAAGATCATAATAATTAAAAGTGTATACTTAACATAACGAAAGAATGTAAGAGAACGTAAGAAGAACATTAAAAGTCTTTTTATTTCTATTTTCTTCCGTCACATTAAGAAACAAAATATTCGAATAATATGTTAATTTGATTTCGATATTACGTTCAGTTTTTTAATTAAATCTTTAAAAAAAGAATGAAGGAAAAAAGTTAGGAAATTTTATATTTCTTCTTGTATCACTGAGTAAGATTATATTATGAAAATGATCATTAATTATGTAATAACACAAGTTCAATTGGATGAATTTAAATATGTTTAAAAAATTATAATTTTAATATTATAATTAACATAATAATATTTTTATTGCATATATTTTTTTAATTTATATTTTATTCACGGTATAATAACCGCAAATAAAAAGTATTCGTAAAAACTTGCTCTTCAACTTCTGGTTAATCTGTTTATTATGCTTAAAACTAGATTTGAAAATAAAAACCATGATTTTATATGATTATACATTGAATCGAAAGATATATTGCTTTCTTAGTTTTATTTTTCATGTTGTATTTTAAACTAAGTATGAATAATTAATGTAATCATAACTGTTTTAAAAAAAATTGTTATCAAAATTATTAGTTGTATCTTAGAATATTCGTACAATATATAATGTGTAATAAGTGTTATGTAATATTTTAAAATAATTTTCTGTAAGAATAAAACAATAAAAATTAGTTAAACACGAAATATAAAATCAAAATATTATATTTTTACAAATAAAAATACGTGTTATAAGAATAATTTGTAATTAAAAACATGCTAATCTAATTCCGAGTCAAAGTTATTTTTCTCTTCAAAAAATAAACTATGTTTTCAAACCAATCTTTTTTATTTTGTTCAATAGAATTAGAAATACAAATTTTATTTCTAAAAGAAAAAGATAAATTTTTTTTTATTTTTCTACAAATATTTATATACCTATTTTTGAATTTCATTACCATGAAAATTATTTTATCTATTCGATAATCTTGTCCTATGCTAATTCAATCATTTAAATAATTCTGTCATAAATGCTACTTTATTTATTTCTAAAACTTTCAACGAACACTGTCAGAAATTGGATAAACAGATAAACGCGAGATCTCATGTATGATAATAATATTAGAATGTTCTTCTCAGAAACTCAATGAGGAATTTATTGTCCAAATTTTATGGAATAGATGAAAAAATGTTATATTAAACAATCAATATTATTATATATAAATAAAAATAACATGATCTTGAAACAATTTGAAGAAAATATAATAATATCAGAATAAATTTATAAAATATGGAACGTATTCTGTAATTCTAGATTTGTTATTGATTCAACAATGATGATTCATTCAAAAATAATTATTGAAAAGAATGTCTTTAATGAAAAATATTCTTGAAGAATGTGATATAAATTTTCATCAGGATGAACAATTATAATAATTATAATGGTAATAATGAGTATAAATAAAAAATTTTTAATTGATTGATTTTTATTTTATGAATCATCATTTTTATCCATACATCACCATAGCTAATGTATTTTTTATTTTTCTTAAAGAATATAAAATGATGTCATTTATTTTCGCATGAAAAAATAAAAAAAGCAAGATAAAATATATTTATGAATCACCGATATATTTTTCTTGAATTTTATTTTTTTAATTTTAATCAAAAATTATATTTTAAATTGATATTTTGTTTTTCAAAATTATATAATACATTTTTTTTATTTCACTATAGAATTTGTAAAATATTTATTAAGACATTAATATTGATAAATATTTACTTTTCAATAATTAACCGAAAATAGTATCAGTTAAAAAAACGAAAAAAGAAAATACTTTTTTGACATGTAATATTGTTTTCAAATAAAAAAAAAAAAAAAAAAGAATAAGACTTAAATTATTTTTTCATGAAGATTAAAATATTACGATATTTATAAAATTATAACGTAAATAAAAGATTAAAAAATGCAAAAAAAGTATTTAAATTATCAACGAAGGACGTACAAAATGAAAAAAAAAAGTTACAAAGACGTCAGAAACTTTAATTCAAGGAAGTTCACGATTTCTAACATGACGCATTATACGACATTCGTTCGATCGTGATTCTTTATGCGAAACATAGGTTACACTAGCAATTATAATAATAAATTATTCTAATTGCGATATTAACTTTACATATCACGTACCGAAGATCGTGTGAATAATACGTATAAGGTTAAAATTTTAAAATTCAATTTTTATGTTAATATAGTTCAATTGAATAATATAATAAAAAGGAAGCCTGCTTAGAACCTGTTAAAAGAAATTTTTTCGAAATCAATCAAGGGCTTAGAAATTAAGGATATTTGATAGATATCTTTCTACTAACAATTGATAATTTGATAATTAGAAAAATTATGTAATTATCCAAAATACATATAATATACTATATAAAGTTGTAATATTTATGAATTTTAATTAATTAAATATATGTCAATATGAAACTATTTTTGATAAGAATTAATGTGATAAGAGTTAATAATTTGTCACCACATATTTTGTATTTTACTTATGTGATAAATATCTCAACATATTAAAAATTGAAGATACGCAAAAAATTAGAGATTAAATTTTAGAAGAAAAATTGTGTAACGATATTTTTTTAGAAAATTTAAAAGGTAAGATTTACATTAAAGTCAAAAGAAATGTTCATAGTCTAGGAACTGACCGGAGTAAATATTTGCTTGAAGAAGAAGAAGAGAAGAAAAAGATGTTTTCTGTGTAATTCTGACTCATCCTAACACACTTACTAAATATTATTTAAATAATATTCATCTTCAAATATATTCATATTACAAATAATTTTCGCAATAATAAAAATATGCAAAAAATAATTAATTTACAAAAAAATATATTATAGAGATTAAAAATAATCTGATAATATTTATATACAATACATTTGTATACATATTTGATGAAAGAGATAATAATTCAACAAATATTATTCAGCAAAATTAAAAAAAAAATTAATCATTCCGAGATTATAACATATGAGAAAAGGATAATTTAAGGAATAATTTAAAAAATGGTACGAAATTAATAGAAACATGATTTTAAGGGAAAATACCTATTGTACAGTTTATTTTATACATTCAACGACTGTTTGATTCAAGTACAAGAAAGCATTTCGCTTTGAAATATTAATTCTTCCATTACTTCTAGAACAATGAGGAGTAACAAACTCGTTGTTACAAATACAAATACATCCCAGAATAGAAATTCTATTGAATTCTTCAAAACATTTCGAATCCTTATAACCATTACACTCACTCTTCAATAAACGATCACTCTCATCTTTTTTTTAACCAAAAACTTTCACATTTCATCATTTTTCGATATGAAATAAAAAAAACATGAATGCAAATTTATCCCCTAAATTTTATAAACGACAGTGCGCTTGTGAATTTGTTATAAAGGTCACTGAAATGTTTTTATATTGAACTTTATTTTCTTGAACTTTTTAAATTACTATATTTTAAGTAACTACAGGAAGGCGTATCGTTCTCTTCGTTCGAGATAACATTGTTTATGTTCATTCATTTGAACAGTCTCTATTCTTAATGGACCATTTCTTATAGAAATATTACAGTCAAACGACGGATAAATCGATCCGTGCAAATTATCACCAACGATTGGGAATCATAAAAAAAAAAAAAAAAAAGACCAAAGAAAAAAATTAACTAAAAAATTTTCAAAATATTTGATTTATAAAAAATATGTATCGAAAGCGTCTTAAAAGTATGTGGAAGTCCCATGAAGCAACAAATAAAATTCAAATTATTATGAACAAAGAATATAAGAATATCACACAATAAAAAACAGAAAATAGCAATTAATTTTTGAGTTGTTCCCCAAATAAGTAAAATAAAAAAAAAAAAAAGTGATTAGAATAAGTTTTTAAAAATGCGTCTATCGAAGAATAATTATGCCCTTTTGTGGAAACTTAGGGCAGAAAATAGAATTATATCGAACAAAAGGGATAATAGTCTTCTACTCTCCGTAAAAAATATGAGCAGCTATTTCCCTATTTTGTTATCTAACTAGTGCTTAAGCAATATACCACAAGTATTATTTAGAAATGAAAAGTATTTTTTAAGACTTCTTTTTTCTTTTTATATATATGATTTTTTTTATAATTACTTACAATTGTAAGCAATTTCTTTTATTTATATACATATATATATATATGTATATATATACACATATATATATTTTTTCCACATTTTTTTATATCTATATAATGATATAAGATAAAATTTTTATTTTAATCTCTCGCACGAATAAAGCCATTTTCGAAATTTCAATAAGCGGGGATTATTGGAAGTACTGAATTATATTAAAGCAAAAGATTAATCTTTTTTTCTGTTTTCTTTCTTTTAATTTTTCTAATATTTGAAAATTTATAATCAAATTAACTCTGCTATTTTTCGAAGCTTTCAGCTTATACTAAATAAAAGCTGTTAGCATATATCAAGAGTTTTCTCAAGAAGTGCACTAAGAATGCACAAATTAGTATAAATATTACTCCTCTTTTTTTTATTTTTTAATAATTTTAAAATTATAGATAACTATTATTAGAAGCAATGGAAAATAATTGATTTTCCTAAAAAGTTAAAGTGTCTTTTTCTGCAATACATGTTTGGCTCAGAACACCACCAATATCACACAATATGCTTAACGCATCATTAGGTTATGCCGCCATTACTTTTGTGCTTTAAAAGTAGTATCACTAAGAAGGTACTATTTTTCGTTCATATTTACAAATATTACACAGGCAACAGATAAATTACCTAATATCATATTATCTTCATGGTAATAACAAATGTCCTCTTATAACCTGCTCTTTGTACCATCCTTTATCAATAAGGAATATTCTTTAAGTTATTTAAAGAATCTATGGAATAAAATGTATTTGTTTGCGCGTAAAATCATGCATGCGAAAAACGTTTAGGAGTTTTTTTAATGGACAAATTTTTAAGAATGCGAAGAAATATCTGTGTTATTACGCGTGTGTATGTATACATGTGTACAGTTTAAGGACATTATACTTATTATTAAACTAGAAATATTCAATACTTTCATGAGAAAATCTCAGCTATATAAATATTTTAAAGTGCCTTTTATTTAAATATTTTAACACGTATTCTGCCAGAAACTTTCAAATACTATTACATAAAATATCAATTGATGATAAGTTCCCGGATGGATACGTTTCAATCATTTAAATGTTGTATTAAACAACGATCTATAAATCTCGACTACAACGTGACTTCTTCCTTCGTTTCCTTATTGTCAAGTATGGTAACAAATCACATTTGAAACAGATAGAAAAGAGCATGTGCAATTAATAGTCTACACAAGAAAATATTATAGTGGAAGAATTAATTGAGCAATATGTTCATGGCTCTATAAAGGCAGTGTAAGAGATATATTTTCTCGATAAGAAGTGTTAAATAATTCCTAATGTAACATTAAAAGTCAAACAGAAGTTTAAGATAACAACATTAAAATAAAGTACAGAAGCGCACGGAAGTATTTTGCACGATACGGTGATAATAATTTAATATTTGAATTTTTAAAAAGTAATCAACAATATTGATAATTGACGGTCAGATTGTTATAAACGACGTAATAATTTAATAAAAACAATAAAACTTAATAAAAATTTTTTCAAATAATTATTTTTCGGATAATCTAAATTAGTGCTTTGTCAGTTTATAACGAAATAAAGAAGTCAATCAAACACTTTTTATCGTTCTTAACAATTTATCCGCCAATACATTCATTTAAATATTTATTATTTAAACAAAAAAGTAAAGAATCGTCTTTGCATATTAAATTATGTACACACGCATTCTCTCTCTACCTGCCCTATATATGTTAATTAAATCAGACTCAAACTTTAATTATATCTAAGACTTAGTTTGCAAAATAAAAGGTGACTTAGAATGGAAATGGTCGTTAATTTTTTACATGTTTAATCAATTGGCCGCGATCCAGCCATTTGCTACCAGATAATGTAATATCTTACTCTCTGGTTCCGATTGAGGTACAACGCCTGATCTTCTATTACCATTTAGATATTCCTGCAAATATACAATTTTTATTTATATAACATATACAGAATATGATAAATTTTATTTTCTAAAATCTATTCATAACAATTTTTTTTTTTGATATGAATAAAATTTACTATTTGATGTCTCTTAAACAAAATTCCTAAAAATAAAATTGATAGAAAAAATATAAAGATTTCTTTATTATTTGTAGTAATCATATATAACTGGATATACCAATTTTTGAAAGAATATAATATTTACTTAAATAGAAAATAATCTTATTACTTACTATTTAAAATAATTTATTTATATAAAAACTTACTTGCAACAACAATGTCTTTTGTGTTAAATACTGTGTTGGCTTCAGATCAAGTTGAAGACATAAGGATTTTTCTTGTTTTGTCAATAAATGAGCTGCTGCTTCCATTTCTATATCTCGTTCCTCTGAATCTCCCGCTGTTGTGCAAGATTTTCCAGAAGTTGTCGCAGTATAATTCTTTTCTGCGGCAGAACTGGAGCTGGTAGAATGCTGGCTGGAAGAATTTGGATTGTTATCCGGCTCCGCCCACTGATTGGCTAGAGTCGTCATCCGATTGGGATTGGTTTGATTGATTGAGAAGCTGCTGCTGGGTAAGTCTTTTGCAATGTACTTTCGGTCGGTGGAAGAGTAACTTTTTTCTTCTTCTCTATATATAAAACAAATTTATCTTTAAATCATCTATTTTATTATTATTTTTCATTTATTATACGATGTTTTATATATATAATTATGTTAAATTAAGTTTATTACAATAGTCAACTTTAGAATAATTTTGTACCTTTTTTTTGAGGTGTGGCGGTGTATTGGTGTGGACGGCCCACTGCTGCCCTAAGTGAAATGCAAACTGATACAATCTGTTCACAAATGCCTGGCAACACGCACCACAAACAATGGAATTAGTTAAATGAGAAGCAAAAGCTAGTGTATACAGTATAATATAGACTCTGATATTCAAATTATAATTATTAATGAATTCTTATATATCAATAATTTATTATTTGTATTAATTGCATATAAATTTTTGAATAACATATTTATGTTATAAATGTAAAATAATCAATATAAATATGAAATAATATAAAACTATAACAAATAAATATACTAAGAAATTCGTTTTATTTTAAAATAACAATTATTTCAATTTATTTTCGTAGAACATAATTAAAATTACAAACATAAAATTGTAAAAAAAAATATATCTTAAATGACATTTAATAAGTCCAAAAGTTCTACTAGCTTTTACGAATATGTTCTAAAATATACTTTGAAATTTAAGTAGATATACCTAATATATATTTTATACAATAGAGTATAAAATAAAAGGTATACCATT